CCCCAACCAGGAAGCCGTGACGCTCCAACCGAGGTCAGCACAGAAGTGAGGGCCTTCATTCCTCTTGACCAAGTCATCGCTTGGCCACCCCTCCTCTTCTTCCATCCACATCCCCGGTGAGCAAACAACGCACGTCGTGGAAGTCGATGGGCTGGCATGCGCAGCACGTGGCCGAGCCATCGGAGCCTGGTGCGTGAAATGACGGTGCTGAGCGGTTCAGTTCCTTTTCCTGTGCCGTAAACAAGGCGTCGAACACGCTCGTTACTCACGCGGTGTTCCCACCAGATGTGAGCCAAACTGCGAAGGCACCGATGGTCGAACGTAACTAGCCTCTTCAGGTCCGCTGCTTTAAGCGGCCAGGTTTCGCAACCGTACAGTAAGGTCGAACGTACCGCTGCATTGTACACTCTACCCTTCAGGGGAGAGTGATGTCGCGCCGCTGCCATAGGTGGCGAAGGTTAGCAAAAGCACTTCGAGCTTTTGCTATACGGTTCGTGATCTCGTCTTCGATCCCAAGGGCGCTGACACAACTTCCCAGGTAGTTGAATTTCCGAACGACTTCTAGCTGATCCCCACCAAGGGTCAGCGCAGGAGGCGATCCCTGCCAATATTGGAGGAATGCTTTGCATTTCGATGGTGCGAAGCAAAGCCCGAAGCGGCTGACAGCCAGTGCTAATCTGTCCAGTGCCGCTTGGCACGTCTGGGAGCTGTCACAGATGAGGGCAATGTCGTCTGCATACTCCAAGTCAAGAAGTTGTTCTCCTGGGAGTAGCTCCACACCTTCCAAGTCATGTCCTGTAAATGCAATCTTCATGACTTCGTCAATAGCGAAGTTGAAGAGGAAAGGTGACAGCGGGCATCCTTGTCTCACACCGCTGGAGATAGTAAAGGGCGGCGACAACTTGCCGTAAGCCCTCACTCTGCCCGTGCTACGCGCGTATAATGCTCGGATAATATTTACATATTTCTCGGGTACACCTTTCCTGAGTAGACAATTCCAAAGGGCACACCGATCAACCGAATCGAAGGCACCTTTGATGTCGAGGAACACGACTACGGTGGGCCGCCAATATGTGTGACGGTGCTCCAACAACTGACGCAAGGTGAAGATGTGGTCGATGCAGCCACGACCTCGATGAAACCCGGCTTGCTCCTCACGGATCTGGCTTCTACGAGCGTCAGTCAGTCTGTGAAGGATTATGGAGGCGAGTAATTTGGAAGCGATGGAGATCAGACTGATTCCTCTATGGTTGCCTCATTGCGAACGCGAGCCTCCTTTGAAGATGGGAACAATAACGGAGCGGCTCCAGTCGGTTGGGACAGTCTCCTGCTCCACAGTTTCACTAGTAATTCATGTAAAGCATCAACAAGAGCAGAGCCTCCGAATTTGAAGAGGGCTGGAGGAAGATCATCTGGTCCCGCGGCTTTGTTCAACTTCAACAGTCCGATCTCACATTCGACTTTTGAGCCAGAGGGTGGATAAAAGGGACAGCCCAAAGAGCAGGGCGATCACTGGCCGGCGAAGAATCGAACAATTCTAGCCGATTAAATTGCTTTCCAAAATGTTCAGCCCAACGCTCCAAGCGTTTTGACAAATTGTGGATAGGCTGTCCACTCTCGTCACAAATTGTTTCACTAACACCAGGTCTCCTGCTGCCCGTTTCCCATATCAGACGGAATAACTTACGATGATTGCCAAGGGCAGCGGCCACTTCCATCTCTGACGCACGGTGAGACCACCAAGATTCGCGGTCTCTCTTCAGGCTAGCACGAAGTCTTGCCCGGAGCTCTTTGCGAGTTTCATTGTGTTCGCTTCCAGCCGGAATATGCCGGCAAGCATCGATAAGTTCCAGAGACTGTGAAGAGACCCAACAACCATGATGGCTATTAGACATACCACATGAGGATTTGCCTGCTGCTAGTAAGGTCTGGTGAACATGTGACCAGTGACCATCAATTGTCCCCAGTGAGCGCTTACTCAACTCGCATGTCAGCGTACTTCGATACGCATTCAGAACAGCTGGCTTTGTCAGTTGGCTGGTGTCAATGCGCTCACAACGTCGTCGTGGGCGTCCGCCGAAACGCATCCGCATGTCAGCACATACAAGTGCATGATCGGTGTCCACACATGTGCTCCAAATCGAGCGACAGTTCTGGACGCAGCCTCTCCATCGATAACTTATCGCAATGTGGTCGATTTGCGTCCAAGGCTGGTTCGAGGCTGGTGGGCGCCAAGTCACCCTCCGGCGGGTGCTGTGTCGGAAGTTAGTGCTCGCAAGAAATAAGCGAGCATCTTCACACAAATGAAGTAACCGCTCACCGTTATCATTACGGGAGCCTACACCGTGCTGACCGCCCAAATGCATTTCATCAGTGGACAACTTTCCAACTTGCGCGTTCAAATCCCCAGCCAGCACAACAGTGTCCGTGCTTCTTCTGTGGCGAAGGAGCTGGGTCAGTTGGCGGTAAAGTCGTTCTTTACTGAATCATCGCTACAGTTTGTGGGCGCGTAGGCAGCGATGATGAATAGACACCTATTAGTCCCGCGCGACTTCGAAGCTTTGAACGGGTCAGCCAATCGGACCGCACACATCCGGCTACTGATTGGAATCCAATCAACCAGAGCAGCTTCAGCCCGGGGACTCAGGGCAATGCCAACACCAGCTTGGCCGGTGCTCGAAGCTGCATCGTCACCGGATAGGCGCAATGAGAAAACACTGCTTGCGTCACCTGAAGGGGATCACAGAGTGAGCACAGAGCTCGAGTCTTGCAGGCGGGTCTCCGATAAGCAGTAGATATCGATCGAGAGGGTCTCCAATGTTCGGGCAAGTGCTGCCTGTTGACCGATCTGTAGTAATGTGCGTACATTGAGGCATGCCAATCTGAAGGAGGATCGAGGGCTCCAAATGCAAGCCGATGAACTGGAATGGACCGCTTGCTTGGACATGGGCTTGTCGACAGGAGAGGAGTGACGCTCCGCGTTCACATGTGAGTTGAAATTAGAAGATAAATGCCTAGCAAAGCATGTTGGGGGAGGGCCAAGAATCGGGGGGTTGAAAACTGGGGGGATAAAAGTGAAGTTGGAACGGGACGGTAAGAGTGAAAAAGCGTAAGAGGGGGAATAAGAAGACGGGAAGGCTTGAGCAGTAGCATCCAAACCCCTATCCACCCTGCTCGATGCAGCAGATAGGGCACCGTTGATTATCCTCTGCGGTGGCCAGAGCATCAAGAAATTGTTTGAGGAAAGATTCATTGTATTGCGTGGGCGGGATACTGTCAGGTTGCCCAGGCCTAGACAGGAGAACGATTAGGGTTCTCAACCAAAGCCTTTGGTTCAAAAACCTGACCGCAAGGCAGCGGGTTTGGCGTTGGGCTACAAGGAGCCCGTTTTAAGGAATAAGGTGCCACCCTCATTCCAACCCCAACCTGGAGGACCAGGAGGCTGAGTTTGTCTGGCCTCTAACCATTGACCAATCTGGTATGAGTGGCTCTGAAGGTGCAAAAGCACCAACCAGCATAGCTCAATGGATCGCTGAGGCACACAAACCATCGCACCACGGTAAGGTCCAGCCTCATTGCGATGGAGTCAAGGCAAGTACTCCAGAACAAGGGACAATTCAGGATGGAACCACACCACCTGTAACGTGATCTAGTTGGGTTCATCGTAAGCCAGCTATATGATTTATGCCAAGTGGCACTTCGGCGCCCACTGTGCTTAAAAGTAGTGTTACTAAGAAACAACCGGTGTTCCACGCACAATCAGAGCAGACACTCACTGTTGTCCGTCTGTTCGGAGTTAAGCCCACACTTACCACCTATCTGTGCTTCACTCATTCACATCCTCCACAACAAGAACAATGTTTGAACCGGTAGCGCTGCTTACCAGGGTGTTCAGTTCATGGTAGGAAGTGTCCTTGGTAGCATCCGAACAACAATTAATGGGGGGAAACAGCGGAAACAACCAACAAACAGAGTCTAGTGCTACTTTGTGAAGCAACCTTGGTTGAAGACGTCCATCGAGCTGCACACAAACGGCTGTTCACAGGAATCGAATCAACTAACGATTACTCAATCTTGGAGCTAAGAATGATGTCCACCATCCAGTATAGCTCGATGAGTCGAAGAGTAACCCAAGAGAGTAACCTCAAGGCCCGATCTCAATGCAACGTGATATTTAACAACACCCAGCCTCGTTCAGTTAGGCCACCGGAAACGCGGTTGGCTGTCGGTTGAAGAACAATATCTATTCCAAATCACAGTAGAGGGATTGCAAATGGTACTAAACTTTCATAAGGATGTAAGATTGCAGGTGAAACCAGACTCCTGATTATGTTTATCCACGGAGCACTGCGCTCCTTGGATGACGATAGTTCTTGAACTGGTGGAGTGCGCATGCGATGATGGTTAGACTATTGTCCTCTCCGGACACTAGTTACTGAGAACAGAGATGTTCTGGCGGCTAGACATACACTGGCATAGCATTAAAAAGAAAGTATGGCGGCGGTGATAGAAAATGAAGCCTATGAAGGCGAAATTGGGTGCTGTTCGTCTGTCCGCCACGGTCCTTGTCTGGCTCGAGATCAGTGATGCGGTTGTTGTCGGCTTTGCCTTGTCGGACTACCTGTTTAAAACGTGCATCACAGTAGCGCGTGGGGTAAAGTGGACGATGCCGTGGAAGTCTGAAAGCCACTAGATGGCTATTTCACCGATACCACCTACCTTCAAATGAAAACCAGCTACTCGTGGGAGTGAGTTATTGACAAGGTACAGCCACATCGATCCTGAAGGTTGACATATCGGACCAAGGCCTCACATTCAACATCCATTATCGCTCTCCCCCGGTTTTTAATCCAACGAACGCACACTATTATATCTATGTTATATGGCGCTGAAGCACCAGTAGAGTGCTGAGAAACAGGTGTTGATGAGGATCAAGATCAGAACAATTAGTAGCGATTGTCAGAGTGTTCGTCCAGATAGCAGTTCAAAAAAGTGCTTACCTTCCGTGCGCGTTGGTAATAAATGGTGTCTGGTGAATTGTACACCATTGCGTTGTCACACATTAGCGTGACATCTGCCAGGTAATCAGTAGCGGATTGGTAAAAGGTGCGCGAACAAAGACGGGTATAAATTGTGCCCAGATCCATTGGGTTAGCGATTACCTGAACAGGATAGAAGAGTGAAGGCCAAGGAGTTGTTACAAACCGCAAAGTTCGAAAATTCGGAGAGGTCGTCAAGGTTTAAAACACCTTGCTGGAACACGTCTAAGTTTTGCTATCAGGAAGCTGTCTGAAAGACAACTGTTAAGCCCGTATATGATGGACATGAATCAGAAACGGCGACAAGATTAGTGGGCGCGATAAGTTGAACTCAGCAAGGTGTGAGGTGAGATAGATTAACCATATGAAAGAGTGTAAAATAGTCACACAAACATTAGAAATAACCGCTTCGAAGAACATAGACTGGGTATCAATAGCTAACAAGACTAAGTTACCGGTGAATGCCAATCCGTAGAAAGATCTTCAATACTTACACAATCCGAGCGGCCGATAAACGATACCGTGAATTTGCACCCAGCCAGGATTGACGAGTGCTGTCCCAGCAATACGCGCAAAAGGAAACAGTCTCATAATGAGCAAGTACGAAAGAAGAGTCCAACACCAACTCGAACTTGTCAAAAGTCGACTGAAGTATGACCCGCACGCGTGAAGCAGCTTCGTCATTATCAGTGGGTTGGTGGTTCGTGTAGACCATGCATTAATAATAAGTGGGGAATTAAGCGGGTCCCAGTTACGAGGAGAAAGCTTAGCATCAGTAAATAGTTTAAAGGAGGTATACACTTGAAGGCCCTGAGGTTGGCCGGGCCTGAGCGTCGCTCGTTTTCATTACTCAGCAGTTGGAGAGTCAAAAGATTTTAGAAAAATCAGCACCCCTTCATCTTCGAACAAAATCAGCCATCGTTGTCCATGAAAGCCCATATGCATTAAAGTTTTTCCTCTGCGGAAATATTTTCACACAAGTAAACTGCAACACATGATACCCCCAGTTGCATCGCAAATGTAGGTTAAAGGGCAGGAAGCACACTGAGATAATACACAAGGAATGGTTAACGAAAGCACTAAAAGATTTTCCGTAGAATCTTGTTGAAGACACGCAAGGGTGAGCACGCACTCGCCACACAATCGTACAAGTCCCCGGGTGACAGACGATATTTGTGATCCTTAACATTGTATTCGGATCGTGTAACAAGCATCAAAGAAACTGGCCTTATCCTTTGATTTCTCAACAATCCAAACTGGAATTGCACAAGAAGAGTAATTAAATGGTCGGATGATTTCGGTACATTATAGCCATCGGCGGATGAAATCCCTAAAGACGGATCCAAAAGATCTCGTAAAAAGGTCGATTTCCAGGAAGCCGAATAATCGCAATGATAGATCAGGTTTACCGATCATTACATAAGGTTATGTCGCAATATGCATACGCATTTCGCCAAAGATCAAACGAAAAGCAGACGTAAGGAGACGGATGGCATTCAGAGAAGTAGACAGAACAGAGTCTACCAAAAATCCTATGGTTGTGATGAAACTTAGAAGTGTGCTGGATGATTAGCCCAATTTTTCGTGCACTTTGCGTAATGACAGTGCCCTCTGACATAAAAGAAGACCCGGTTCCAATGATGATTCAAATGCTCGGAGTGGTGGGAAAAACTACAATGGACAAGGAAACAGCAGCGATGAAATGATGGTGTTTCGTTTGTAGCGCTTTAGATATGACACCCTCTTGGCTTAAAACGGAATGGTTTCGAAGGTGGGACGAACACCCAGAAGTCACAGTGCTGGTAGTTACAGTCTACAGGCCTATTACACCATACCGCATATAAATGGTGGAGGAGCATTGCAAGATAACAAACATCTGTATTGAGAACTACAAACGCATTCCTGCAAATGTGAGAATAAAATCAACACAACGCAACATAACATAACAGAACACAAATGGAAAAAGTATGTTTCCGTGGGTGTCATGCACAGTCGAGAAGAAATATTTATTCAAACATTTATTTATATAATAATATCGGCTGCTAGGCGCTAATAGACGTAACAGTAATATGGAAAATGTCCATCAAAATCCCACGATCAGAAAGCGCCTCAAAACGAAAAGACGACTGGTCAAAAATGAGGTCACCAAACCAGCAGGCAAACCAAACAGTGACAAATAAACAAAACTTTAAATTCGCACCTGAGAATAACCGAAAGCCACATCGTCTGTGACTGGATTTGCAAAGATCTCCTTCGGGTCACGTCGCACTAGCAGACGATGCACTTCTGAGAGTACCTGGAAAAGGTTATCGCTGGTAACCTTGACCGGAGAAGCCAAATCTGTAAAGAATTAGCGAACATTGCAACACAGGAAAAAACATAAAGACGAAACGATTGGTCAGCGCCTACACTCCCCCGGTTAACAAACACAATTAAAAAATGGTGATAAAGTGCATACAAATGTAGTTTTACGGAGAATATAACCGAAGGTATATTACGACGTACCGGTACTCTCGGCTGCCGTGGCATCAGGGTGTTTCTGAACTAAAAGAATAACAGATAATGAAAAAGATTAAAATCAAAATGAGTTCAGATATTCCAGGGTGAATACGGACAAAGATAGTCTATATTTCATACAAAATATTAAAACCCAACATAGCGATCTTAATTAACGGAAAGACTGGAAAGGTCTGAATCAGTATGATCAGCCCAAATAGCAAGAAAACAGTAGGTTCCGGTCTGGTCACCCGGTAAGAGAACTGAATGACATAGTCCGTACCGTACAGTGCAGAACGGTGGATGAGTGGAGTACCTGAGTTATTAGGATTAGAGTCATACTGACATGGGTAACAGAGTTCCGGTAGTAAAAAATAGCTTGGGCGCACAAAAGAGTTCCCGAGGCAATTCGATGCCCATTCGTATGAAAGCAACTCATGGGAAAAGTTCGAGAAACGGCACCGTGGATATCAAAAGGCAGCTCATAAATAACTATCACCACGAGATTATATAAAATGTGTAAAAGTAACCCCTGAAAATGGTTTCCTGTCAAACGTGGTGATAGACCACATACAGGCTTTCAATATCAGTTTGTAGTGGTTGATCTGCCACAATCATTCGTAGAGGCGACAGAAGGATTATATACATGATTTATAATGGTACGTTAGGGTGGGAACGAATAGAGGAATAAAGATGATGATATGATCTACAACGAAGTGCTTAAGAGGCTCGCAAATGATGTATGGGTCTAAGTAGAAAATTATTAAAAACCCATGGGGCTAAATAAATAAGTAACTAAATGTGTATTCCCGGCTAAATAAGGTGGGTGCATCAGTTAAAGACACCAACAGAAATGTGATAATTAAGAAAGGGCGAAGTAAATACACAATGTTCCGCAAAATCGAAGGCGACTAATAACCCCTCACCCTCTTTATTCGAGGATCAGTTCCACAACAGTGGTTACTTTGACTAGATGGTAAATGAAGGTGTGTCGGGGAAAGCCGGAGACATTTAAAATAACATGAGCAAAAGAGACACAAGATAACCAAAATGATAGGCAATTGCAAACTGTTAAATAGGGACTGGAACGGTTTGATGCCTGACTAATCCACTGTGCTTCCTCGATGAGATTACTCGATGTCTTGACGACGGGATTCCGGTAGAGGTCTGCTATCTTGACTTTATCAAGGCCTTCGACTCAGTAAATCACCGTTTCCTACTTGAAAAATTAGCATGGTTCGAGTACATCCTAGACTTCTGTCTTGGGTGTCAGAATTCTTATGTGGGAGAACGTTTCGAGTTAGAATCGGTGATGTGAGTTCTAGTGTGGGCGTGGCCTACAGTGGAATACCCCAAGGATCCGTGCTAGGTCCACTTTTGTTTCTTATGTTTATAAACGACTTGGCTCCTCTTATTGAAGACCCCTGTTATATCTTTGCGGATAACTTGAAGCTAGTCAGCAGGGGCAACCGTGCAACACTGGCCAAGCATATCATCAGTGTGGTAAACTGGTCGAAGCAATGGGACTTGCCCTTGAATGTAAGCAAGTGCCAAATTGTGACCACTAGTAGAGACGTACTTGCAGTTCAGACTTCCTTTGGACCCTTCCCCTTACAATGCACTACCCAGGCACGCGATTTAGGAGTCATCATGACGAGCAGCTTCAAGCCTTCGATGCAATGTCGATACGCCGCCAACAAAGCGCGACGAGAATCGTTTCGCCTCAGGAGGGCTCTGTGTAATACCAAGCCAGAAGTGTTCCTGCCACTATATAAAGCAGTGGTTAGGCCACACTTAGAGTATTGTGTTCAAGCTTGGTCGCCCTATCTCCGTGGTGATGTTCTTTGCCTGGAGAAGATTACAAGACTAGCAACCAGGATGGTTGAAGGTCAACGGGGGAAGCCGTATGAAGATCGCCTAAAGAGCCTGGGGTTGTTTTCCCTTGAACGGCGTAGACTGAGAGGGGATCTGATAGAAACATTTAAGATCATGAAGGGCCTAAGTGCCTAAGTGCCCTCTGATTTATTTGAGCTGGATGATTCTGAACACTTGCGTGGACATCGCTTGAAGCTCAAACAGCAGAGGGCTAGACTGAACGTCAGGGCTAAGTTCTTCTCGAATCGTGTAGTGCGCAACTGGAATAAGTTGCCTTCGGAACTAATGGATTGTGAGACTGCGGTTGCCTTCACAGCAGGTCTAGACAGGTGCTGGCCGCGTATTTTTCCGGAAGTAATATAATCCTATCCAATTCATTAGCATTGATATCCGATGTTGATCCTTGTAAAAGCAAAGATTGCTCTCGCTTTTGCTTCATTTCTTTTTGCAGAGGCAAGAAGAGGCGATCAAAAGTCGAAGTGCCGGGGCTCTGGTTCGCTTGCCGGTACAAGAAGCTGGACGCTCGTTAGGCGGAAGCCTGTATCGTCCACGGATGTTGACCTGACCTGACCTGACCTTAAAAGACATGAATATTTAGATGAGAGGGTTCATTGTTATAAGACAGGAAACGTTATCCGTGGTTCTGAGTGAGAATGCACGACCGCCGCGAAACCGTAATAAGTACAAGAAAAGGAGCCAGGGATCGGAAACAGACTGAAACGCTTTGAGAGCACTCTAAATTAAACGCACTTTAGTATCATTTTCGGGAAATAAATGAAGGTCAAGAAAGTCGGTCAAGAAAACAGCAATCTGCTGAGTGCAATATGGTGTGCACTGTACTGATGTTTTAGTTATATCCAACTATCTAAACAATATGCAGTAACGATATGCGATGGATTCCGCCACTATTCGTGCGTCCATGTCTCGGTTAAGTTCAGTTCAGGTAAAAAGCTATGGTCGGGGCATTCATGAAGCGTGTATGCAGAGCAATAAAAATGGGGAATACGGCAAAACACGAAAAAATATAAAAGAAATGGGTCAGGATAAAAGTACGTATCAGTAGTCGGATTGGACACAGGAGATGGATTCAGGAAGCCGTTGAATCCAAGACTGCAACATGCCGTTGGAGGCCAACAACCGTTTATGTGGTTCAACCCGAGGTCCCTATCTAGGAAGAAGGCATGAATCAGCGGAAACCAATTCTTTCAGTCAAGTTCATACTATCTATCAAGTCAATGACTGGCCGACTCGCGGGCTCACCTAACAAGCTGTAGCGACGGTACATAATGCTTGTGAAGCATGTGGTCAACAGATGTAAGGGCAAGTGGTCCAAGCTTAAGAAACACTAGAGTGCGGAACCAAAAGGCGTCTTTGCAAACTTTAAGCGACTGACCAGTAAGGTCCAGTCGGTACTCCCACTGAATGTAAGCAGAAGTTCGAAAGGACCGGTGTTCAAACGGGATCGGCTTCTTTACGTAGACATTCCGCTTGAAAGCGCTCCGTAGAGAAGCTTCGGTTACGTGAAGCGGCTCCTGACCTCTGCATGCGACTTACGATTGCAAGAGGGCTCAGAAGTATAGCCCATAACTCACAGCACTGGGTGTGTGTTCGCAATAGCGGCGCATTTCGCTTCCAGATTCGAAAAAAGCCAGATATCTGCACTGAGTTCGACGTACACCGCCTTTACTGAACTCGAAAATCTGGATGTCGGAGTTAAAGAGATGCGCCAACCCTTCGCCAACCTTGACGGCCTTAAGCCAGCTGGACTGATTTTCCAGTTGTTCACTGGTTGTCATATTTCACGTATTCTCATCAGCTGTTTACATACAGTTAGTGGAAAACAGTGCGATGTTAACAACAAAAAATTCAAAGCGGTCGATGGTCCTTAGGCTCACGTGACCCGTTCCGAGGAAAACATAATCACTAGTCTCACCACGGAAGCGCTAGCGTAGTCACGGCAAACTGTTTGCCGAGGCGGTATTAATTCGGTGGCTGAAACCAAATCTGTGCAAGCAAACAGATTTTGTGACCACGCTAGCCTTTCCGTGGTGAGGCTAGTGATTGTGTTTTCCTCGGAACGGGTCACGTGAGCATAAGCACCTTCGACTTTCAAATGATTGGGAATACTCGGTGATAAAACCAATTCAGAAGAGCAGTAAACCTAGTAAAGTGGACAAACACCGGTTAATTTGTTCGATACCTACTTCGACAAAGGTGGTGGAGAAGATCGGAAAGGTCTGCTAGGGCGGCTTCAGTTAAAAGGCCCCTTGATACCAGAAAAGCACGTTTCCATGTTGGGTTGCTCATGCATCACCAAACTGCTGGTGACGGGGTGTGACTGGTTGCAAGTAATAAACGAGAACAATTCCGTCCATGTGATTTACGCAGATTTCAGCATAGCGTTCGACAAGATGAAGCATGGGGTCCTCCTCCAGAGGCCAAGAGTGTGCGGTGTTGGTAGCATACTGCACCAGTGCGTAGGAGAGTTCCTCGCTGAAGGAAAGTGGAGGGCCATTTAACCGACTGGCGTCCTGCGACCAGTGGTGTACCCATACAGACGGTTTTGGAGCCTACCTTGTGCCTGTCTAGAGTCACCATCTATCTCGGCTTCACCGGTTGCTAGGTCCTCGTTTGCGGAAGATCTAAAAACGCGGATAGCACTACCGAAGACTGCGGCCTACTTCAGCGAGACCTCGACCGCCTCCCCATGTGGTCTAAAGATTGCCTCCCAGTCAACCTAGCAAAGTCGGTATTCACGAATCTAAGAAATAGTAGCGACGAAAGAAGCTGCACTCTAAGTGGCCAACCGCCACATCCCACTTTCGGTGAAGGGCCTAGATGTACTCTCAGGTTGCGACTTGACGTCTATGGACAACACCAACAGGTTATACCGAAACGGACTGTGCAAGCCTTGGGCGCTCAAACATAGCTTCTGTACTTAGGGTGAAGACGTTGCCACTCGCCATTCTCTATATATTTATATATTTATTCACAGTCTGTTAACAGACATTGTGCCATCAGAACCATGGCAGAAGAAAAAGGTGAAGAAGATGGGGACACTAATGCGATTAAAAAATATGGGAAACGAATTTTTTTGGTTTTACACACGCTATTTTGTATTTTTTGTTTTGTTTTGTGAGTTTTTGTGTGTATCAAAGGGATGGTGAAATTGCGGAACAACATTGCCGCCACTGATGTCTGTTGCGGGCCATGACGTCCAATGTTTCCAACCACTGCAATTCAGCATCTCGTGGTCCCCAACCTGGAAGGCGGACTGGTCCGACTGCTGCCAAACTTGAGGTCGCCTTCTTCATACTCCTTCTCCACGTCATCGGCTGTCCACCGCGGCACTTTTCCTAATCGCTCCCTGGGAGTGCAAATAGCGCTCGACGTGGAAGGCGATGGGCTGGCATGCGCAGAACATGCCAGAGCCAGCGCATGCGATGTCGGAGAATAACGTCTTGAAGACTGGCACTATTCGCCCCAAGCACGCGGTCTCTCACCTCTGCGTTGCTTACGTGGTGTTGCCACCACACCCTAGCAATCCTTCGTAGACAGCGATTA